CTCTTCTACTGTGTGGACTTTGCTTTCTGGACACAAGAAAAAGAGGCGCTATTCATACCTGTATCTTGGTAAATAAAAACCTATGCAAATCCAGCCTCTAAATGGGCAATTAGCATCTGACTGAAAATGAGACAGCTCCCAGTGTCCTTTTTGGATTTTGTCTGTAACTTCATCACTTCCTCAACTATACATGATGGGAGGCATCAGAGTCACAGTATTTCTGTTTTTTTTTCTTTATTTTTAACCTGGTGAAACAGTTAAAGAACTGTTTCTATGTAAACATTTCTATAATGAAGGCTGATATCCCTTGGATGTGAGGAGGTATTCTAAATGCAACTACAAGTGAAAGAAAAGTAGCAGAAGCCAGTCCTCAAAGTCTCAGCCCCAAAGCTGGCACTGTTGCATCTCCTTGGACTTGAGTTGCTCCTGTGGCCTCCAACAGTCATTCAGTCTAGTGTTCAGTCTGCTTATTGGTGTTGATTTTTCTTTTGTTAATAAAAAACAGAAATAATGCTACAAGGAAGAATGTTTGTAACATGCAAAAACAAGTTAGAAAGATTAATATAATCTTTCATTTATTTAACAAACTTTTACTGAGAACCAACTATTTAGTAGGCACAGGGGATATGAAGTAAAGAGACCCAATAACCACTGCTTAATGAAGAGTTACTGGTACATTCAAGGAAATCTTAGTAAACCTGAAGAAACCTTTCTCAATTTTTCACACCAGTTGAAGGCAATGGCAGGACGCTCAGGATTCTAAGAATCCAATATGAGCAATTTTAAGCTAATTTGAATGATCCTAAATGGAAAATAAAATCCAGTAAACTATCAGACTCCAGGATGCTTCCATGGCTTAAAGAGATCAAATGACCTCTAGTCTCTACTGCCAACCCCCTGCATTTGTGTCCAGGTTGCCTTTTCTCAATGGGAGGCCATTTCTTTCTAACCTCTTCAGGTTCACTCACTGTCTTGGCTCAAAACAAACTCCTGCCTCAAATCAGAAAACACATCATTTCTTTTCCTTCTGAGCCAAATTAATGCTGATACAAGCAAAATTTGAGAGTCAACATAATATTTTAGGAAGCAGGTCTAATTGAGTCCTATGCTTGGGCTTCTTGAAAACCACCATATACATACAAAGGGAGAACACACACACACACACACACACACACACACATTTAAATCAAGCCTCCTTTTATTCTTGCTTCCTCTTGAGTTCTGAGCAAAGCATCTTTTTTTCTGAAAGTTAACTGCCTGGAGTTGAACAATCAGAGCCCTGGCTCTTTTCCTGAGCCTCAGAGAGGCATCACTATATCAAATATTTATTATAGTTTACGGTGAATGCTTTTTCTTTTATTCTTAGAATTGGAGGAATGCTGTAAAAATAGGTATTTTTCTATAATCTTCCAGTGAGAAAGCAATGTATATCTGCATAAATTGTTCCAAATTGACCACTAATTTGCACATTCATATATGTGTGTGTTTGTATGCCTAGACAATTTGGAAGTCCCGTTATTTCTTAAATAAAAATGATAAGGTCCTAATTCCCAGATTATATTGTTTTCCCCATCAATCTTTAAAAAACCCTGTCATTCAATCTAATACCAAGCACATCCAAACGATGGGTTAAGATTGAAGTTTTACTAGAATGATCTGAAAAAAATATTTCCTTATCCCTTTCAGGTCATGTGGAGGTTATTAACATCCAATAAGACAATTAATACCTTATTTACCCTAATTCTCAAAGTTGCCTTTCCAACACTGTCATTTGGCTATCTTGAGGCAACAGATAATCATTTAGGAAGAACAGAACGTCATGGAACCATCTGGTATCCGTAAGACATAAAAACCCACGTTATTATAGATCTAATTGCTTTCTTTCAGTCATAATTTATGTTTGTTTGCTGGATGGTTAATTGACAATTAAACAACTTGCTCCCAGACACAGTTTCTTCTCTTTCAGGAAAAGTGTCCATCTCATTTTGGCTGAGGCTCAGGTTTCTTTCTATATTTTAAGTGAGAGCTACATCACACCTAGAGAAAGGCAGAAAAATCCCACAAACACAACTTCTGATTTCTATTTTCTTGACATCACATACATTTGTAATGGGGAAAAATCCATCTGTCCTGCCTAGTAGACATTGCCATAAGAAAACTCAACAGCATGAAAGAACCTTGGTAAAGTAAAGATGAGTGTCGCCTTCATGCTCTTACAGACACTCGATAGTGTTAACATGGCAGTGACCATTATCTAATTTTAATTACAGGATCAAATTACTTGTCAAAAACGTACTATAACTTATGTACTGTTGGCTATGTCCCAATCCCTATTTGTAAGCCTATCAGACAACATTATTTATTTCAAAACAGAAAAATTCTGCCACCTTCCTGAATTTATTGTACTATTAGCAGAATAAAAGTAAAATGTTATCAATAGAAATCTTTATCATTTTAGAGCATTTCACTCCATTCACTCCCCTCCTCCCTCACACATAAAGGCAGCTGGGTGAAGAACAAAACTCTACTAAACCATATTGTCAACATCTGCACAACAGTCAAGAGGCTGTCACTGCTCCAGCATGTGCTATATGTACTATACAGTCACACAAAAGACAAAACCTTTTTTATTCCCAAGCCACTGTGATTACTGGGAAGTATCACAGTGAAGCTGGATAGATAATAATACACCTACTAGACAAAAAGATGAAGTACACAAGTGCCTGGAAGTACAGTGAGAGCCAAGAGAACCCACTGAGTTGCCTGTACATACGATGCAGGCAACTAGGCGAATGTACATACTAATTTTTGATTGTTTAGGTTCTTGTGAGTGCACAAAAATGCCTTCTGCTTAAATTAAAAGCTGTACCCAAAATCTATTCCGCTGTGAGTTTATAAGCTATTCATTTTTCTTTTTAATGCAACATTTATTAAGCACCTACTTTGTGCAAAGCATTATTTAGGTAGAGGGTAGGTGCAAGAGAATACTAAAGGTACTTTGCTACCAGCTGATAATCATAAAAAGCAGCTGTTGTGAAATGCCCGAAGTGGACAGTTGAGGAAAAAGGTACTTTATAATAGTCCTGGGAGTCGTTATGATTGCTTAAAGTAGCAAAGGAAATTAGAGAAATGAAGTAGCCCTTAGAAGTAGAGCAAAGCATGCAGTCACCACTTGTAGCCCAGCACTATATCAATTCTCTCTCAAAACTTTTTTTTTTTTACAAACTCCTTCACTTATGTTTTCATATAAGGTCTCCAATCTCATCACTGTATGAGGCAGCAGAATGTTAACTGGCAAAATTTCCCCCAGTTTGTCTATTCTGGCCTCAAGGTTTAGTATTTTCCCTTTTTTTTAAGGATGCATTTGGTCCAAAGTCTTTTAGCAGCAAGGCAGCACATCGAGAAGCAAGCTGTTCTGAACTGGGATCTAAGTCCATATTCGCTAAAAATGGGATAAGTTGTTTTTCTCATCCTCTCTTTACCAAAATACAAGTGTTTATTGCTGTACCTGAAGGAACTCTCATTTTAGACATGAAGCAATGAATTGCCCCACATACTTCTCTCAAGAATAATATGAAAAAATGCTGAAAATTTGTTGTATAGTAAATTCCACTGTAAACAGTTTGATTGTTTGTTTCTAGGTAGACTACAGCACCTGGGCAGAAAACAACACCATACTTTAATAAATGAAAAACAATATTTTTCTCCCTTTCCCCACACTTGCTAAATTTAGTAGCAGGAGTGTCTACCAACCAAGTAGTTTCTACTGCTTTGGGAGAAGTGAACAGCAATAGAATATTATCAGCTGAGCTGTGGGCAAAAGCCCATTTTAGTCTATGTTTGAAGAAGTTTTGGTAAATATGAAAGCATCCACCAAAGGTATTACACATAAAAAAACAAGTTAAAAACTACTTTAAAAAGTAACCATTCAGGACTAGATTTTCATGGGCCAAGCAGAAAATAGGAATATAATCAGGAAAAATCTGAAGTGTCTGATAAGCCTAGTTGTCAATAAACCTTTCATCAGAGGGGAAAGAAAACAAAACAATTTAGATAAATTGTATCAAACATGGATGTTAAGTTATTCCCACATACCACCAGTCTGTTTTCCGAACATTATATCAGTAATGACCCAAACGTTTATTGACTAAGGCAGAGTCCGCTTAATAAAAAAAAGTACCAATCATTTCAAAATTAAATCTTGCAAGTTTTGTTTTAATTGATGCTTTCCCATGAAGTCTACACACGAATACGGAGAGTCTGTGAGGGTCCCAGCTCAATTTACAGGGATGTAAGAACATCTAGGAGAAAATAATTCCTGTAAAACATATTAATTAGAGCCACAAAAAATTTATCTGTTCTATTTATCTATCAATCAATCAAGAATGGTCCAAAAAACACACAGTAGGTCTACTATCCTAATTACGAAACTACAACAATGAATCACTTAAATGTCAACTTTCATTACTCATCTGGGTTTAATTTCGTTTTCTTACCATAAAAGCTTATTGTGTGACTGTTAAAAACTAAAGTTATCTTTTTAATAGTCTCCTAAAATCTACCCTCATGCCCTTCAAACCCCAGTAGCAAAAGCAAGCTGCCCAAATGTGTTGACTCTGGGCGGGAAGAGACAAGGTTCTGCAAGGAAGCTGTGGCACTGCTCATGATACCGCGTGAAAACGGGGAAATTAGTTGTTAAAAAGCATTTGCTGCTGATATGCCATGCTAGAATTTCCCTTAAATTAAAAAGAGATAGAGAAGAAAGTAGAAAAAAGGAAGAAGGAAGGGGAGGAGGAGGAGGAGGAGGAGGAAGAGGAAGAAGAAAAAGCAGGAGGAGGAGGAAAGGAGGAAAAAAATAAAGCTCTAAAATCGCAACAAAGTTGCAGGATGACTTTTCCTTCTGTTTGCTATTTTGTAAAATAAAGTTTAAGAGGCATTATTTCCTCGGGGTCCTAGGAAGGCAGCCACTCTTAAAAATCCCAAATCATGTCCAGCCTTACCTTACGCTGTTAGCGCAAACCCAGGGGCTAAGGGGCCCTGATCTCAGCGGCAGCAGCGGGGGCAGAGGCAGCGGCACATGCCATCTGTTAGCGGCAGAAGCAAAAGCAGCGCTGCGCGAGGTGGCCCCGGTGCCGGGAGAGCCTTTAGCAGGGGTGCATACTGAATGCCGCCATTTTAAAGCGAGATTCCTGAAATCATTAGATATAAGCAAATTAAAGCCCGCCCCACCTCCAGAACTTCAGGGCTGGGACTTGCAACCCGGCTCCAAGTCGGCGGCTCTGGGGTATAAAATGTCAAGTCTACAGACAAGCGCACGCGGACTCTAGGACGGAGGCGACGGTCCCCCCTCTCCCTTCTGCCCCCTTGGCCCCCTCGTGCTTTTGCAAGACTCCTTTCGGTTCCAGGGCCCAGAATATTTTCTTTTCTGGGCTCCTCGGGGCCCCTTCCAGGGCCCGGCTGGCGGGCTGTGGGGGGAAGGGACGGGGCCCCCGGCCGGCCCTCCCCGCTTCTCCCAGGCTCTTGGTTCAGTCCACTCGGAGCACACCTCGGAGCGCCCCAGCTCCCTTGCCGCGGCCGGGCGTGGGGCTCCCGCCCGGGCTCGCAGCTGCCATGGCAACCCCGGTCCCAACCCCGCCCGGCAGTCGCCAAAGGCGTGCCCTGCTCCCGGGCCAGTGTCCTCCGCCGGACGCCAGACGTCCCCTCGCGAAGCCCTGTCGACCCCGGGCAGCCCGGGCCCCCGAGGCTCCGTGCGTCCCGCGCCGGACACACGCGGCACGCGGAGGGAAACGGCGCGGGCTAGGGGGCTTTGGGCGCCAAAACGGCAACTCCCGCGAAACTCCGCCGGCCAGCGGAGCTGCGCGCCGGCAACCGGAGCGCCGGACTCGGAAGCGGCGCACGCGACCTGCCCCCCGGCCCCGCCCCGCCGCGACCGGCCAGGTAGCGCCGCGCACCCCGCGTCGCCAGTGCCGCCGCGAACCTCACCTGGCTCGGCGCGCCGCTGCGGGACTGGCGGGAATACGGCCCCGGGCCGCCTCGGCTCCCGCGCCCACCCGGGACTCTCTGGCCTCCTCCTCCCTCTCGCTGCTCCTAAAGAGCGCCAAAAAGTCGCGCTTCGGCTCACGCTCCGAGTGCGGGCACTTTCTTCCTGTAGGGCGCTGTTTCGTCGCGAAATATATTCTTTGTGTGGTTCGCTCACTGGTGCCTGGTTCTCCGAGAGCGCAGCGCGGGCTTTATTCTCAGGGGGTGTGGCGCCTCGCCCCCAAACCCAGCGGCCCAGCCCCCCTGCACAGACCCTTTGTCATTTCATTGGGGGGGGGGCAAATCATAACGCTCAGATTTTATAAAAGCGAAAACAAACGGCGCACGCACACATCCCCAGAGGCGGGGGTGGAGTGGGGGTGCAAAGTTTCTGCCGCTTCAGGATCTGAAGTGCCAGTGAGAAAGGCAGTGTGCTTCACAGCGGGACGCTCATAGACACTGCCCAGACAGGTGAGGCGAAATGGGTCCTTTCAAAATTCATCTGAGTCGATAAACATGCCCACTCACTATAGGCTAAATAAATACATTCATACTCACCAGCTGCCTTCCTGGAGGTTTTTCCTTTCATAAATGCCCCAGTCCTTTATTTCCCTCTAAGAATTTCAGACAGGGAAATGCTGATGAGTGCAATCCGTTCCCCTTCTTCCACGGAGTTTGCAGGAGTAGGAACCCTGAGGTAAGGTTCCAGACACTTTGGAAAATGGACAAAGCAAATGCAGTTTTATATCTTGATTAAAACGTGTGCATCTGCACAGCGAAATTACAAGTTTCCATTTAATGCAAGTGTAATAGGAGCACCAGCTGTCCCTTAATTGGAGCCCCACAATAATAAATGCGTGCTTTTATTTAATTTTACGAAGACAATTGTAGTTGATAACACACACATATGCAGGACCGTCAGTGACAAGCTCATAGCAATTCATGTCTGCTTTCCTGTAATCAACTGCTTCACCCGGGGACAGAGTTCTACATGCTCTGCACAAAGTGCAAAACATTGGAGGAGATATTCAAGCAGCAGTTAGGTCGAAAAGTGGAGTGAATTCTCAGGCTAATTATACTTTTTAATTCTGATGGACTGATCCAAATAGAATTCTCCAGCTAATTTTAGGCAAGAAATCAATCTGTTAAGTCCAAGATAATAGGAGTAGGATGGTAATGGTTGGGAGAAGAAGACTGAGTACAAACTGCCCTTCAAATAATTGCGAAAAACCCCGATAGTGTTTGGCGAGTACGGTGAAAGTCATCGGGACAACGTGCAGGGATGGTGTCCGAAAGTTTGTTATATTGGGTAGAAACCTAGCATAAGTCAAGAGAGTAGGAGTTTCTAGTTATTTGAATTTGAGGAAAGTGGGAAAAGATGCTAACTCCTAACCACCTCTCCCCACCTTCCTTCAAATTTGCCAAGTTGCCTGAACTGCTATAAAAGTCAAATGTCTCTGACATGCATGAAGTGGCTTGGGATGTCCAAGATCTACCACAGCAAAAAGTAGGCAGTGTTGGCTATCATAGTCAGCTAGAGAGAAGGGCATGGCTGAATTACCTAACTTTACACCCAATGATCTAACAAATGAGGAACTGTTATCACAGTGAGTCAACAAAGGAGTCTCTATATTAAACATAACTTGGGTGAACACCAGTTCTCTTACCTCTGTCCACCATTGCAAGCCACATCTGTGGGACAGTCAGGGTTTTGCTAATTCCACGAAAGCTGGCTCAGTCTGATTGAACTGCTGAAATAATTGTTTTATCTTGCATTTAAGGCATAAATAGGTCAATTGGCTATTTCTTGGGATACTTTAGCTTCAACATTGTCTCCTGGGCTTTTAATTTCTGGCCAGTGAAAATTGCAAATGAGACTTTATTATTCTCTCTTTCCCACACTGGAGGGGAAAGCAACCTTATAAACAAAGTTTAGCCTGGTAAACTGCCTTTCTTTATCCAGGGTGGCAAGACCTCCACAAATGAAGCTAGGCAAATTTCCATGCCACCAGGCCACTGGGTAATGTTGTAAAAGGCCCTAAGAAATTGCTACTCCTTCCCCTCAGCATTTTTCAAAGGCCAATTTGCTCTCTGGGGTGGACTCACCTTGGAATCACTTTCTTTCCATTTTAGTAGAGTGGTTAGAGCAAGCCAATATTTTCTCTTCTGTTCTTCTCTTTAGGCATATTTGGTGGCATGACCCAGGAAAAACAGAATCTTGTACTGACTGATATGCCAGATGAATTCTTACAATAATATATGTACATTATAGTCTTGGAATACATATGCCTGTTCCCCATCGCATTTTGAGATCATCTGAGAACCACTATCCTGATAAATCTTCAAAAGTCAGTGTCTTGCAACTCTTGGATTTAAAAATTAACTCTTGGATTTAATATAAAGACTCCTGGCTGGGTGGGGTGGCTCACGCCTCGTAATCCTAGCACTTTGGGAGGCCAAAGTGGGCAGATCACTTGAGGTCAAGAGTTCCAGACCAGCCTCACCAACATGGTGAAACCCCATCTCTACTAAAAATACAAAGCTTAGCTGGTCATGGCGACATGTGCTTGTAATTCCAGCTACTCAGGAGGCTGGCAAAAGAATCGCTTGAGCCCGAGATTGTACCACTGCATTCCAGCCTGGGCGACAGAGTGCAACTCTGTCTCAAATAATAATAACAATAAGAATAAATAAGTCCCGTCCCTCTCTCCTAGCCAGTCAATGCAGGTGTGTAAGCAAACATTTCAACAAACCTACGGGACATACTTTCTCTGCCCTAACTAGGTCTTATCGCTTGAGATGGACACTTACTCAAATGTAAGGCTAGGACTCTAGATAAGGATGGAGTAACCTCTCAAGTATCATGTTCTTTCAATAAATATAATTAACTTTGACTGATGCAGAAAATAATTCTAAAAGTTATGTAATGGTTTAGTAACAAAAAGATTATTGTAATCCACCACCAAACAAATGTTGCTGTGTTTTTAAAGATGTCAGATAGGTGAAACATTAGACTCATGCATGTATCAGTGCACCAGGGTCTGGAGAAGTTTTTGAACTTTCAACATATTTGATCAGAATTATCCTTTTAATCCTCTGCTATGCCACATAACTCATTTATTATTATTTTAAACAGTCAACGTGTACTATTGGACATACGGGCAAGGCTGTGCTATGGACAAAAGGTCAAACATCTCTTTTCTGTTTTGAGCCTGTGAAATTATTCTCACCAGCCTATCAACAATAGTATTATTTGCTACTGCTGTGTTCTAGTGATGGCCCCACAGCATTATTTGTGGTCATTCCATACAGAAGCCTCTGGCTATTTAAGGGTGGTTCAAGAGTTAAAGACACTGATTATTCATTCATTCTTGAAGAGTCTTTTCATTCAGTTGGGAATTTGGACTTTGGGGTTCACACAAAGGTTCCTACTAAACAGATGGGGGAAAAAAGCGGAATCTGGTTCTTAAAAAGGTTTAACCAATTAACTAAAGGTTGGCTTCCAAGGTAACCCCTATGTAAAATGATATAGACTGTATTCTTACAGAAGAAACTGTAATGCAATTTAGTAACTAGTTGAATGCAGAGACAATTGCAAGCATAGATAATAAATTGGTCGACAACTCTCAAGTTGCAAAGAAAATGTCTGAAACTCAGGGGTTTTTTTTTTTCACCTGGATAGAATTGTCAGAGTTATTTGGACATATTCTAATAAACACAGAGGAAAAGAGGATAAATATTAGAAAACCACATCCTTCAAAGCACACCTGGGCCTGATAGATTTACAGAGTGATTTCTCTTCCAAGTCTTTTAAGAACATATTATACGAATTATCCTTGATTATTGAAAAGTATGGTATATTTCTTAAAATTGCCCTCAGAGGGAAATATGCTAAGAATAATACAGATAAAAATAACACGAAAAGGTAAGAATAATTCAAAATGAAAGCATGATATAAAAAAGAAAATCAGGCCCTTTTCTCACTTAGGAATAGATAATTGTAACAGTAACCATTTAATGTGGAACTACTCCATGCTAGGCACTGTACTAAATATTTTTCACACATTAGCTAATTTAATTCTCATAGCAATCCTTATAAGGTAAATATTTTTATGTCCCCATAAAAATAGGAGAACTGAGGCTTGCCAAAAGTAAGAAAAAGTTATTAGGTAGCAAA